ACATTTACCTATAAAGCTCGTTATCGTTACAATAACATTACGCTCTTAAGTTCTTTGTTTCGAAGAAAGATGGTTGATGTAAATATAATAATGTCATATCTTGTCTTTGATACTTTGACCAGACTTTAAAATTACTTTTTCTAGAAAGTAAGTTTTGTTAATAAGAAGTAAATTTGAAAATCATGTTTGTTTCTTTGGAAAGAATTGGAAAACATTCATTTTTTTGGTTAGTCTAAACATCATTTTTTTCTTTTTCCAGCGTTAATCCCATTTTTGATAATTTTGCATGAAAGTTTTTTGGTAATTGTATGTTTGAATGTGGCCATTTTCACTCTGATTGTAAAAATAGTACTATTAAATGGGGATATTTTTAGTTTGATTGTAAAATAGAACTATTTTGAAAAATTCATATTCAAATATTTTTGCTCAAGTGCATGAAAATGGGTTAAATACACCTTTGGTCCTTAAAGTTGTCGCTAAATTTTAAGTTCGTCCTTAATGTTTAGTTTGTTCCAAATCAATTACTAAAGTTTCTTAGCATATCCAATTTGGTAAATCTGCTTGTGTGATTTACAAAAAAAATAAAATTGTATACATAGTTAAAGCTACTGTGTACCAGCTCAACCAGCAGGTAAGTTGGTACTCGGTACCCTTGGGATTAATTTAACTATTGAAAAAAGTTCAATCACATAAATATACTAATATTAAATAATATAATAAAAAATGTCCAATCTTGCTACAGTGATAGGCTCAATGACAATATGGGCACGAGTCACTACATGATTGAACAGTTTAACAAAAAAAAAAAACTCAATTACTGCCTGTCATACCACCCCGTCACCTCCATTCCTGTCATTCATCCTGTCGAGGAGCATTATTCAAAAAAGTCATAAAAGTAAGATCTTACATTTCGGTAGGGGCCTAGGACCCCAGTGGCCCCACCTCACTCCGTGGTTGTGAGCAATGGTAATTTTTAAATGGATGACAAAATCCTAAAGTCCATTATCTTCCTATTAATTTCATGTTTGTTGGAATTTGAATGTAATACCTAAAATAGACCGAAATGTGAATTAAATTTTGAGGAAAAAAAAAAAAGAGCTTTAGGCTTTCGTCATTCCATTTTTAGCATTGTCAAGGATTGCGTGGAAATGGAATTAACGCCGTGTTAGTAGACAATGGCTTTAATCGAGTACACATAGGATTTCATACTAATCTAACTTACTAGGTGACCAAATTGAACTGTTAGGAAACTTTAGTGACTGATTTTAAAAAAATAACTTTAAGAACTAACTTGGAATTTTATTGCAACTTTAAGGCCCAAAACTGTATTTAACCTGCATAGAAACTGGCGTGGAATATGGAATTGAGATAATAGAACTGATTGTAAATTTAGCCCCCGTCTGAGCCCAGTTACATAAAAATTCAATTTTTCTCAAAATCATTTTTAATAAAATATTTATACTCGTAAATTCAAAATAACCACAATTTTTTCAAAAAATAAAATAAAATAAATCACTTATATAAAACTAATTCTTTCAAAAAAATGGGCTCAAACACACTCTTGTATCTATAACTAGAAGGATAAATTT